AAATTTTTCCCTTCTCACCTTAAACCTATGCCCTCTAGTTTTGATTCCCCAACCCAGGGAAAAGACTCTGTCTATTTACCCTATCCATGCCCCACATGATTTATAAACCTCTAATAAAGTCACCCCTCAGCCTTGGACGCTCCAGGGAAAATAGCCCCAGTCTATTCAGCCTCTCCCTATATCGCAAACCCTCCAGCTATGGCAACATCTTTGTAAATCTTTTTTGAACTCTTTCAAGTTTCATAACATCCTTCGTATAGCAGGGAGACCAGAACTGCACACAGTATTCCAAAAGTGGCCTAACCAATGTCCTGTACAGCTGCAACATGACCTCCCAACTCCTAAACTCAATGCACTGACCAATAAAGACATGCATACCAGATGCCTTCTTTATTATCCTACCTGGCTGTAACTTTCAAGGAACTATGAATCTGCACTCCAAGGCCTCTTTGTTCAGCAACACTCTCCAGGACCTTACCATTAAGTGTATAAGTCCTGCCCAGATTTGCCTTTCCAAAACGCAGCAACTCGCATTTATCTAAATTAAACTCCATCTGCTATTCTTCAGCCCATCTGATCAAGATCCCATTGTACGCTGAGGTAACCTTCTTTGCTGTCCACTACATGTCCAATTTTGGTGTCATCTGTAAACTTACTAACCATGCCTCCTATGTTCCCATCCAAATCATTTATATAAATGACGAAAAGCACTGGACCCAGCACTGATCCTCTGGCACACCACTGTCACAGGCCTGCAGTTGAAAGGTAACTCTTTGCCACAACCATCTGTCTTCTACCTAGATACCCACATCTGACGTTATGATAGAGGGAAGATCATTAGTGAAGCAGCTGAAGATGGTTGGGGCTATGAAATTACCCTGAGGAAATCATGTAGTGATGTCCTGTGCCTGAGATGATTGGCCTCGAACAACCACAACCATCTTCCTTTGTGTTTTGCATGACTCCATACAATGGAGACCTTTCCATGACTCCAAATGACTCCAGTTTTGCTGGGCTCCTTGATGCAATACTTGGTTAAATGATGTCAATGATGCCCTATTTCCCCTCTTGCATTTAGCTTTTTTGTCCTTATTTGGACCAAGGCTGTAATGAGGTCGGGATCTGCACGGCCACAGGTAGCCCAAAGTGAGTGTCAATGAGCAGATTATTGCTAAGCAAGTGCTGCTTGATAGCATTGTTAACCAACTCTTCCATCACTTTGCTGATGATCGAGAGTAGATTGATGGGGTAATAATTGGCTGGGTGAGGTTTGTTCTCCTTTATGTGGATAGGTCATACCTTTTAAAATTTTCCACATGGGGTAGGTGTCAGTGTTGTAACAGTACTGGAACAGCTTGGCTGGGATGCACTAATTTTGGAGTATAAATCTTCAGCCTTTACAGTATCCAATGCTTTCAGCCCTTTCTTGATATCATGCAGAGAGTTGATTTGGCTAAAGACTGGTACTTTTGATGGTGTCAAGATTGAGATCAAGTGACCCCATGTGATCTCCCAAAGACTACTTTAAATATTCTGTGCTTATATTTACACAGTATGTGGAAGATACAGCATTGAAAGAAATCACTGGGCTACTTATATACTGCATGTGTGTCCTTTTTATTTCACCCTTTCGTTATTCATTATAGGTAGAGACATGGTAATGTACATTTTATATATATCCTTTTAAGTAACTTAAAAAGAAACTTACTCAGCAGGAATTTGGAATACAACTAGAATACACTAGTGAGGAAGATACAACACCTGTCAGAGTTGATTACCATTTGGTAATTGAGTCTACCTTTCAAGCTGCATAACGTTTGCAAATCCTATTGCATACCAGCCATTTTACTAGATTATAATTTTACTAGATTATAAGTAATGAAAAATGTAGATACCTATACATTTCAACAACCATTTGAATATTTTGTAATATAACCATATGTTTGTCAGTCTTGTTTTGTGGACAGAATTAATTTTATCACAGGGTAGGGTAGTCTCTGATCTTAGCTGTAGCACCAGTGCCACCCAGTGAAAAGTAAAGAAACTGCCCTATACTATTCTAATTCCTATAGCATTGTAACCAAGTTCTAAAATAAAACAAAGAACTGTGGATGCTGAAAGTCTGAAACAAAACAGAAATTGCTAGAGAAAATCAGCAGGTCTGGCAGCATCTGTAGAGAGAAAACAGAGTTAACATTTCAGGTCCAGTGACTCTTCTTTAGAACTGATGGTACCGAGGAAAAGCTGGTTTATATGCTGGTTTATAAATTATTGAAATTGATATTGAGTTTTGAAGGCCACAGGGTCCCCAAATGGAAAATGAGATGATGTTCTTCCAACTGCGCTGCAGCAGGCCCAAGAAACACGCTGGTGTGTTGAAGTGGCAGACAATAGGAAATGTGGGGTCATTTTTGCGGACAGATGTAGGTGTTCAGCAAAGAGGTTGCCCCATCAGCATTTCATTTCCCCAGTGTGGAGAAGATCATTAAGTTCTATCCTGTTCTTATCCAAGATGCACACACATTTGCAATCAGGAAGGATCACTGGGAGCAATTAAATGTGCAATCTATTACCAGTCTCTAATTCAAGAAACTATTTGTTGCTTTCAAACTGCTGGTCTGGTTATGATTGTGGACGTGTTAGGAGTAGTCCTTGGATCTTTCTGGGCTTCATGTCTATCATTCACTTGACTTGATGTCCATCATGGAAGCCACTAACTGTTTTTCATTTGTTTATTTTTTCTTGGCTGGCTTCACTGTTTAATTTTCTTTCTTTAAACCTCTACTTATTAAAAAAAAAGTATTAGCTTTTGTCTCTGAAACATACCTGTCTATGCACTATTTCTGAGAAGTTGGCCAGAAATATAAACTGTTCAAAGATGCCTCCCATCCCGCTGTCTATTTGGCTGCTGAGAGGTCCAAACAGATAGGGAGCAACAGGTCCAAGTTATCATACTTTCTGATTTCCACTTTGTGCAAAACAGAGAAACTTTTAAAAAATATCCACAAAGAAGTTACATAGCAACTTTGCTTAAGTAGACACCAAAAATAATACTGTTTGCTGCATATTTTTCTCTGCTCAACAGAATCTGTGATAAAGTTGCACTGCAGTAATTATTGATAAATCTCAGATAACTACGAGTCATCATTTAGATCCTATTTCTACAGCTAACATTTAGTTAATTTTGAAGTTAATGACACATTATCCTAAAAGATATTATGAAATCCTTCACACTTCATCACAATACCAAAACCACTTCTGCTGACATAGAAGATCCCATGATGCTATTCGAAGAAGAATGGGGGAATTCTTTTGATATCCTTCAAATATTATCTCTTAACCCATATCAATAAAATCAATTATCTGCTTGTGTCTCATTGCTGTTCTTGACTCTTAGTATGTGCAAACTGGTTCTAGCATTTTTCTACATTACAACAGTGAATATAATTCAAAAGTACATCTTTGGCTGAAAAGAATTTTGGGATGTCCTGAAAAGCATTAATATAAATGCAAATGCTTTCCTTTTATTTTATTGTTGTATAGCTATCAGATGTTCTTACATTTTAGAGCAGCAGTTCTTTTACTTCCTGTTGCACGAAACTGAAAAATAGAGACACTTTCTTTCTGTGCAGCAGCCAAAATCAAATGTATCTGTTTTTCATAGAGTTCTGTATTCATGTCTGTCTGTGACTTGCTGGTGAAGTAGTAGATAATCTGGGCCAAAATGTATTAATGGATGAAGTACTTAATCATTAATGAGGAGATGTTCTAGCCAGGGATGAAGACCTCTGCTAAGTCAAAAGCAAAGTATAATAAATATTGAAGCACTTTTTGATGTCTTCCACAGTCCAAAAAGTAGTTATTAACATAAAATGTAAATGAATGAAGTTGTATAATTAATTGATGACGAACAGTGATATTTCTCCCTCTTACCCACAAAGACAAAGCTTTATAATTTTGTTAATAGTATATTATGGATTAAACAAGATAGTTTGCCTGTCTATTTTTAAATTCTCCATAAGCCATTGCATTTGAATCATTCTATTAAAAATTACATCTTTTCCAAGAGTGTTTGTGCATAGGCTACAAACTTTAATGGTGTATTATTCGTACATTGGTATTCCTTGGTACGTTTCAATAAATGATAGCTGATTTTACAAATCAAAAGTATAAAATGCTGGAAATACTCAATACATCAGGCAGCGTCTGTGGATACAAAGAGTGGAGTCTTCCAAGCCAAAGAACACTGTGGCCATATGCAAGAAATTTGGAAAAATTGTGTGTGTGATTAGCAGTAAGGAGATTCCTGATGTTGAGAGCAAATTGTTCCATATTCCAAGCAACGTTGAACAGCGAGAAGAGAATCTTCCCAGTGAACAGTGGTAGGCCTATTTGCACGTATTAGCATGCATTCAGATCTCACAATTAGTTAGTCTTGCCTCACTTAAAGTTAGTTTCCCATTCTTCCACCCAACAGATAGAAACTAGGTGTGGTCAATTCCCAACATGAAATGGCATTGTGCATACATTAGCCTCATCACACCCTCATGACACATCTCCAAGGCATGTACAATGTTTCTACGCTTCAATGTTACACATAGGAGTGCACTGGCACTTTTCATTATAAAGTGCTACCAGAACACTTTGCATACAGGGACAAACACCATACAGATGTGGTGTATAGGTAATAAGGCAAGTTTGGGAAGATAAAATAAGAAATCTCACTCGGCCTCATGCAGAGAAAGCCTCCATGAAACACAAGAAAATTTGCACTTGGCCAATTTCTGGAAAAATTTTGCCCAGAATAAATGTTTCAGATCAATGTAGGAAGAACATTACCTCTGTTTCTCTCCACAAATGCCGCCTGACCTGCAGAGTATTTCTAGCATCTTCTGTTTCTATTTCAGATGTCCAACATCTACAGTATTTTGCTTTGTATTTACTCATATCACATTATGTTTTGACCTAGTTATCAGCATCATGACACCTCAGATCCTTACCTTTATTATGAGAGGATTGGCCAGCATGGAATCCCTGATTTTCCCAACACGATCATTCTCTGACCACTGTGGAGCAAGCATCTCTCCTTCTATCTCATTAATCAATAATAATGATGAATTTTAGATTCAAATGCTCCCTAAGGCTGGCTCACGACTGTTGAATGACTGCAGAGGCCAACTTTGCTGTCTGACAAAAGTTGGACAAGTTCCCTGTGGGGAGAAAAAAGCATTTGTGAACAATTGAAGTTATAATATTCCAACATTCCCATTGAAATTGAATCAGTGACTTTAAGCAGATTTAGTGAACTAGACAGGTTTCTAAAACATGTTTCACTGTTGTTAGTAGAAACCACCCAATTTGAATTTATTGGAACATTATCTTTTATTCTTTATTCTTTCAACGGTGTCCCTGGCAGCAGTATTTTTTAAAATCTTCCTTGAACTGAGTGGCTTGCTAGGACAGTTAAGAGTCAAACACGTTGCTGTGTCTGGAGTCACATGCAAGCCAGTCCAGGTAAGTTTTTTTTATGAGAATTGATAGTTATCTCCATGGTCACCATTACTGATATGACTGGTCTCGAGATCAGTTTCCAATTTCAGATTCATTAAACAAATTTAAATTCCACAAGTTTTCGGGGTGGGGTGAGCCCATGTCCCCAGAGCCACAAGTAACCACAACAAAGCACTTAAAATCTTAACTTCAATCCCTGTTTCCTTCGGTTGATTCATCGCATAAACTCAAAAGTCCATTAACTCTGACATACCTATTTTTCCTTAACTATTTTACCTTAATTTAGCAGGAAAGGCAGGCATTTAAACATATCTCATTATTTTAGATGTAGAGGCACCTTGAATCATCCGTTACGCAGATGGTTTCTGCTGTTAGGAACCTATTGTCGTGGTAACGGTATCCAAGGTCTAGATCGTTGCTAAGGCTTGCTGACCTCTAACCTTAGGTGCATTTCCGCTTCCGTTACAAAAAAACAGTCTCTAAGCTTCGTAAAGGAACTGGTTGTTGTTTAAGATTCCGAATGGTCCTGGATTTTCCTTGATAAAGGCGTTTGTCAGTGTTTAATAACTACAAGAGAGTGGATATATTATGTTTCGTCGCAAATTGTCTGAATTTATAGTTTTCGTTGGCCCGCAAGTGGAATGGAGGCGCCAATTTCCTGTTGAACATGCTGCACCTTCAGCGCCAAGTTTGGAAAAACAAATTTTATATTTTTAAAGATGAATTGATTCGCACGCTTTTTAGTTGTTGAAGCTGAGCAAAAAAATCCTGGACGCATCTACAAAGGTAGTAAGTATGTCTAAGGTTTTGGAGTAGTAAGTATCCATGGAGAAATAGAAAATATCTTGTACAAAGTTTCAGTCTTTCTTCATAGATGAGGGCGAGTGAGCAAAAAACTTGAAACAAAATAAATGCTCCAAATAATCAGGTCAGGCAGCATTTGTGGAGCGAGAACGGAGTGAATGTTTTAGGTTGGATACTTTCGGGCAGACGGTGGCATAATGTTAATATTTCCTAACGGTTAATCCAGAGGCCCTGGCTAATGCTCTAGAGACATAGACTCCAGTAAGAAGTCTAGAATGTAAGGCTAGTCTCATTGATGGTGATCATACAATTATCATCGATTACTGAAAAACGCGCATTTGGTTCACTAATGCCCGTTCAGAAAGAAAAATTGCCACTTTTACCTGATCTCACTTGCATATGATTTCATTTCCTCAGCAATGCCTTTGACTCTTAACTGTCCTTTGAAGTGGCCTCAGTAAGAGGGCAGTGAGAAATAGACAGCACGTGATAGCCTTGCCAGCAACGTCCACATTCCATAAAAGAATAAAGAAATCGGACTGGTTTTAAATGAATCAGGATTAAAGACAAGTACAAGAGGGAGTTGATGTAATGAACTGGGTTGCCCATTTCCAGACCACATTATAGGCTTGATCCAAGCATGGACAATGGAGATGAATTCGAGAGGTGAATTGAGAGTGACTGCCTATGCCATCAAGACTGCATTTAACTGACGTTTCATTGAGGAGCCATAGTAAAATTGAAATTAATAAAAATTGGGGGAAAACTGCCCATTGATTGTCCCTAGAACAAAAGAAAATGGTTTTTGTACTTAGAAGCCAATCATCATAGAATCCCTACAGTGTGGAAACAGGCCCTTCGGCCCAACAAGTCCACACCAACCCTTGGAGCAACACACCCAGTCCCATCCCCCTATAACCCACCTAATCTACACATCCCTGAACACTATGGGCAGTTTAGCATAGACAATCCACCTAACCTGTAGGAGTGTAGGAGAAAACTCACGCAGACACCGGGAGAACGTGCAAACTCCACGTAGACAATCACCCGAGGGTGGATTCGAACCCAGATCCCTGGCGCTCTGAGGCAGCAGTGCTAACCACTGAGCCACAGTGCCGCCCTACAAAGGCTGACCCGATCAGCGAGCACTCTTTTTTTTTTTGTTTTGCTGAAACCTGAGATTGAACCAGGGACCTTTAGATCTTCAGACTTAATGCTCTCCCAACTGAGCTATTTCGGCTGGTCTCCACCCTCAATATTAATACAAGAATTCCTCAGGGTTGTGTCCTAGATCCAACATCTTCAACTGTTCCGTTAATGCCTTTCCCCAGGTCATCTGATCAGAAGTGGGGATAGACATTTAGGGATGATTGCATGATGTTTAGCACCATTCATAACTCCTCAGTTACTGAAGTAATGTATGGAACACCATCTGGATAAGATTCAGGTTTGTGCTAATGAGTGGCAAATAACATTCATGGTGCACAAGTAGGCAAAGACCCTCCAACAAGGGAGAGCTTAAAAAACTGCCGGTGACATTCAATTGCATTATAATTGCTGAATCCCCTACCATTAACATTCTTGGGGACTGCCATTACGCAGAAACTTAACCAGACTGACTTGTAATGACCGCGACTGCAAGAGCAGGTCAGAGACTCTCAATAGTTGCTTCCCATGATTGCGACCTGTGCCATCTAGAAGAATATGCATGAGAGCACCATCACCTGCGACTTCCTCTGCAAGCCAGACTAATCTGACTTTCAACAAAGACCAAGTTGCTGGAAAAGCTCAGCAGGTCTGGCAGCATCTGTGAAGGAAAAAACAGTTAACGTTTCGGGTCAGTCATCGGACCCGAAACGTTAACTCTGTTTTTTCCTCCACAGATGCTGCCAGATCTGCTGAGCTTTTCCAGCAACTTTGTCTTCCTTCCTGATTTACGGCATTCGCCATTCCTTTCGGTTTTTATTCTGATTTTGAACCACATTACCATTCCAATCTTGATTAAAAGTCTGGAACTCTCGTCATAAGATCACTGCGCATTTGTACCACATAGACTGCTGTGATTCAAAAAGACAGCTCACCACCTTCAGCAATTAAGAATGAACAATAAATGTCAGTGATATTGATATACCAGGAATTAAATACAAAATCATCAAGAAAGTTTAAAAGTAGGCAATGATGTCAGGGAATGTATAAATAAAGATTAAGGAGCAAGAAGCTCCAGAGAGGATGAAAGATGAATTCTGTCGGTTGGGAGGAATGGGAATAGTTTTCAAGGTTAAGGTAGAAAAATGCTGAAGTTTCATGAATCATTGAACTTACCACAGAAAGGGATGAACTAATGGGGAAAAAACTCTAATGTTAATCAAATAGGCAGTTTTAAGTTTCTTTAAGCTGTGATTTGTCTGGGTGAATAGTGAATGCTATGGCTATACGAAAGAGAATCTGCAGCATTTAGCATTTATAAAAACCTATTTAGTTTTAAAACAACGTATACTGCAAAATGGCATTGTCTTGATGGTGATACCCAAATGAAGGTCGTGTGATGTGTACAATAAATTTGCTGTTACTATTTGATGCCCTGTGGTGAAACAGAAAATCCAAGATCTAGACTTCACATTGTGGAGGATTATTTGCTCAAGATATGCAGATGTAATTTCTAGATTGTAAAGTTTCACCCTCAGCCCTTATTCATACAGAATACTTTTAATACCTTGTAGGTCCAACTTGCAATATGAATGCATTACACTTTATCAAAATAGCAGAGTAATTTTGAGAAATTAAGTCTCAAGATAAAGTGGTGGGCTAAGTTTTAAGCAGAGTTTAAGACTTTGAACTAGAATATCGGGAAGGGACCTTGTGAAGGCAGTGTGCTGAAGATTGTGTCTTTTGGCCTGAGTTGAGAACTAACGTGGTGACTGCACAGTAATGATGGTGGCAAAATTCCAAACAAAAAAAAGAAACTTTGCCAAATTTAATAAATCACAAGTTAAGCCTCAACTAGAGCGCTGTGTTGTCTAGAATGGGGCATGCTTTAGGAAAGAATTATTTAGAAAGGGTACAGGGAAGAGATGCCAGTACTATCAGTTCAGTTTCATGGAGAGATGCAGGAAGCTGCAGTTGTTCTCATTAGAGCAGAGATGGGAGAGTTGATATCGGTGTTAAAAATCATAAGGCTTTTGGTAGAGTAGATGCTGAGAAAACTAACTGATTTTACTGACAAGCGAGTCAGTAACTAGAGTGGGCAGATTTAACAAAATTGGCCAAAAATCTAGAACGGAAATGAGGATTTTTTTTTGTTCTGAAAGTTATGATCTGAAATACACTACTCAAAAAAATGAAAATAACTATAATAGTGACTTTTAAAAATGAATTGGATAAACTGCAAAATGGAAATTATGTTACACTGAAAACGGTGAATGGGACTTATTCAGTAGCACTTTGAAAGAGCTGCCACAGATGCATTGGACTAAACTGCTTCCTACATTGTTTGATCCTACAATTAAAGCTGCAGGAATTCTGCCCTTAATGTCAAGCAAGTATCCAGTGGAATATCTTTAAGATTTTTGTATTAAGGGAAAAGATAGGGATGTAGAGCTCGGAGTCATCAGTTCCTGTGTAGAAACTGAACCTATACTTCTGTATATCTTCAATGAAGGCCACTTAAAGCAGAAGGAAAAAGGACCAAGAAGCTATGGAATCTTTTCTCTAACCATCTTGGAGGCAGGGGAATGAAGCCATCAGAAGCATTATGCATTTGTTGTGATAAATATAACAAAGCCAGGAGACTGCAATGCAATGAAGTTGATTCACTGTGTGATGTTAGAGTCAAAGTTGATGAGATAGATGACAAAGATAAACAATAATTGGTGGACACAGTGGAATAGTACAGGCAGAAGTTGATTTCATAATTATGGAGGACAAGCTTTATTTTTCTGATCTCTGGGAAAGGAAAATTGTCTTCCTTATGTTGTTTGGCCTTGATGTGAACTTGAGCTCCACACTAACATATTTGATTCTTAATCGTGCTCTCAAAAGACTTTACAAATTACTCAGTTGTATCAAACCTGAGAAGATACACCATTAGTACCTTCCACTAACACCTTTTCAGAGAAATTACGGATGCGCAATAAGTACTGTTTTCAACATTTAATTAAGGCTCCTACTTTCTATGTAGTGTACCCTGGATTTTTTTTTTTATTTGCTCATTGGATCTGGGTGTTGCTGGCTAGGCCATCCCTAATTACTCTAGAATAGGTGATAGTGAGCTGCCTTCCTGAAATGCTGAAGTTCATGTTGTATAGTTACACCCACCGTGCTATTAGGAAGGGAGTTCCAGGATTTTGACCTAACGTGTAATAGTGAAGGAACAGTAATATTGTTCTAAGTCAGGAGGGTATGTGGCTTGATGAGAAACTTGTAGATTGTGGTATTTCCATGAATCTACTGCCCTTCTGTGTGCTGGAGTTTTTGGGTTTGGTAGGTATGAAGGATGAAACTTGGATGGAGTACAGCTGAAGACAATATCAGGCTGCAGGAGTTACTATAAAATTCTGAATGTCTTTTATTACTCTTGTCATTTAACATTTAGATGTTACATTGGAGTCTGGGCAACAGCCATAGAACTGTGCAACAACAGGAAATAACTGTCCAATAAAGTGCTGCTGATTATACAGA